CATGATGAATGAGTCAGAGCAAGGCTTTGGACATGTTTTTTTTATTAGAGTATAACATTATAACATGATATAAAACTCAAAGTTGATTTTACATGATATTGCCCCTTTAAAGGATTTTAATTTTCCCATTATCAGGTCCACTCTGGTTTCAGGTTAGTTTTGTTGTTTCTGCTTCTTGGCACATAGTGACTCTATCATTTGTGGTGTATGAGCACCTTTTAAAGTCATTATTAATCAATATTTGATTGTGTTTCTGTCTTTGCCTGGTGTTGTAGGTGGAGGAAATGGTGCAGAATCACATGACCTACTCTCTGCAGGATGTGGGTGGAGATGCCAACTGGCAGCTGGTTGTAGAAGAAGGAGAGATGAAGGTACTTTGTTTCTGATACAAGTCCTGGGATTGGATCTGAAAGGACCTAGAAGACAGATAAAATTAACTGGACCAGTGTTAACACAAGCAGAACTGTTATGAAGTGTGATTCAGAGCTGCTACGTGCGTGTTTGCAGGTGTACAGGAGGGAGGTGGAGGACAATGGCATTGTGTTGGACCCTTTGAAGGCCACTCATTCAGTGAAGGGGGTGACGGGTCACGAGGTCTGCCACTTCTTCTGGGACACTACCTATCGCAATGACTGGGAAAGTAGGTGTTGGAGCTCTAACTGAAGCTGTATCAGTGACATGAAGACAAACTGCATCAAACAGAGTGTTTCTCTTTCTTCAGCCACCATAGAAAACTTCAGCGTTGTGGAGACGTTATCAGACAATGCAGTGATAGTTTATCAGACACACAAGGTGAGAGCTACACTCAGCATGTTTAATCATTTTAATTTAAAACAACCTGCCTGTTTAAACCCAGACATGACTGTTTGTGTTTCCATCCTTCAAACTGAAACAAGTGTGTTTGTGTTGCAGCGAGTGTGGCCTGCTTCTCAGAGAGATGTGTTGTACCTTTCTGCCATGAGAAAGATGGTGGCCAGCAGTGAGAGTGAGCCAGACACATGGCTGGTCTGCAACTTCTCTGTGGACCACAATGATGCCCAGGTGAGAACATCATGTCAACTCTCAGACAACAAACAACAAACCTGAGTCTTCACTTTGTTTACTGCTCAAAACACTACATACTGTTTGTTTATTCTTGGTTCTGTTTCTTTACACAGACAACCAGCAGGTGTGTCCGTGCCAGAATCAACATTGCCATGATCTGTCAGACCCTGGTCAGTCCACCAGAGGGGGATAAAGAAATCAGCAGGGACAACATCCTGTGTAAAATCACTTATGTTGCCAATGGTGTGTATCTGCAGGTTGTCTTCTTCAGGTCTGGCTCATCTTTTCTTTTGTGTTGTTAATTTAATTTAATTTAATTTAATTTAATTTAATTTAA